ATAATAATAATAATGCTATTTTCCTTTTTTATCTTTGCTGTTTTCTTACATACAAATTTTAATAATTTCTCATAGTCAGTATTTAGCAATTAAAGTTCATAGAATTATTTAGCTGTAATTCTATACGGATTTACTGTTTAGTTTTTTAATTAACTTGCATAGATAATGTTCTTATAATAATAGTGATAATAATGCTGTTTTCCAAATAATAATAATAATAATGCTGTTATCAGTATAATAATAATAATAATGCTGTTATCAGAATAATAATAATTATAATAGTAATAATGCTGTTTTCTTTTTTTATTGTACTTACAAATTTGAATCATCTCGCCTAGATAGTACTTACCAATTAAAAATCATGGAATTTTTTTAACTATAATTCTATACGGATTATGCTGCTTAGTATTTTATATAACTAACATATCTTTAAACTAAATTTACTTGAATTCAAACTTAATAATTTTTACATAATTATGATTTATTATTGCACAACAAATACTGATAGTATAGTTAATTCATGAGCAATAAATTTGCGTATTTTGGGCGCAACACAATAGCGCACAAACATCTATATAGACGGAATAAAACACTTCTATCTTTTATAAGCTTAAATGCGTACGTATATTTGTGTATACATGCTTAGTTTTACTTACTTACGTATGTATATACATACATAAGTATGCATTTATTTATAAGTATACATGTATATGCATAATTTTATGCGTGCAAAAAATGCGTATGCATGTACATTATTTCATTTTATGTACATTAATAAGTAACCATTGATAAAAACCAATAATATATTATACTTTCATCTCCTTTTCTCAACACTTCCATTTCTTTTAAAAGGAGCAAAAAGTACGCGCAATCACAGAAATAACATTTTCAAAAGTTTTGACAGAAATATTAAACGTTTTCAATCACATTAAGACACAAATACTTACGATCTACTAAGAACCCATTTACATAGAAATTCACGGCAGGGTATTTTTTTATTTTTATTTTAAACAAACCTTTTATTTCAAGGCTTGTTAGACATCTTATTGATATGTTCAACAGTTTAGCCTCCACTCTTCTGATGGCTCTTTATAGGAATAATCATACAAATTTTAAAATAAATCTGATAAACTAATTGAATTGAATTTTTTTCAATTTTGAAGCAAAAGAGGTAATTAGAACACCCCAGGTATCCTAATATTTATAATATATTCATAAAGTTTAAGCAAGGAGTGCTTTTTTCCCTTTCTTTAAATTATGTTATTTATTTAGAGAACAACTGCACATTTTTCATTCAAATTAAATCCCAAATTAATTATTTTAGTCTTTATTTATGAAATAAAAATTATGTAATCAAAATCTGATCAGTAAGTTTTTTATTTTATTTTAACTATTATTAATGCCAACTTTAACGTGGAATAAAGTAATATTTTTTTGCAATAAAAATATATTAGAGACATATTAAAAATCTATTGATTATCAATCACTCACAACGTTTAGAATCATTTTTTGGGGTTTTTCATATATCATAATCCATTTCACTTACCATATATCATAATAATTAAACAAGACTTTTGTTACCCTTTCTTTTAACTTACGTTATTTATTTAGAGAACAACTGCATATTTTTGATTCAAATTCAAATTAAATTACCAAATGACTGTTTTCTCCTTATAACGAGCTAAAATTTACCTAATAAATTTCTGTTCAGCAAGTTTTTACTTTATTTTAACATTTATTAATGCCGATTTTAACGTGCCGTAACGTATAGTTTTCTACCGTAAAGTATATTCCAGATTTGTTAAAAATCTATGGATTATCATTCACAACATTTAGAAACATTTTTCGGGGATTTTTCAATTAAAAAAATATTAAAAATAATTTTCATTCTGCATTAAAAATAATATAAAATATAAATTAAAAATTAATTATATTTTATTCCTATTCATAGTGTTGTACTATACCTGGTTATCTTATCTAAAGAAATTTAAATATTTTATAATATTTATAAATAAAATAAACATGAACTACAACGAAATGTATAACACAATTTTTATACTTTTTTTTTCAAGTTGCTTGACACCTAACATTAAAGTGAGCAGTCTATTTGCTATTTAAGTTTCCGTTACAAACGTTAAAACGTATGATGTAGATCTCTAATGTAAAAAGAGTTTTTTGATTGCTAGCAACAAAACAACTAACAACAACTACTTTCAAAAAGATTATTTCAGAAATAATAAAAAATAAAATTATCCGTTTAAATTTATTGATAAAAATATAAATTTTTGGTAGACGTGAAATAATAGTGCATTGAAAATTTTATTACAAATTCAGATCTCAGTACCTTATTCAGGAACTGTAAATTAAAAGAACTTTGTCAGGCTTTTAAAACATGATTTAATGTGCATTTATAAGTTCATGAACGAAAAAATTGAAAAAGCAATTGTCTCCTAATTGAGAAGACAGTTGTCTTACTCATTGTTTGGTTCAGAGCTCCCAGAAAGTCTTATTAAAGAAAAAAAAGAAAATAACTGAGGTGCTTCAGTTTGCCTTACATATACAAAAGACGGATGGAAACAGGTTTGTGTTACATTCATACCGAAGTTGTATAATAATCGCTACTGGTATTAATACATTTTTTGGTACTACATGGATTGTCTGAACACTTGATTATATAATTAAAGTAAGTTTCTATTTAAATGTTGAAGAGGATCAAACAGTTGCTCAAAACTGTATTATACCTTTAAGCTACCCAAAAAATTTCATACTAACTTTAAATATTTATTACTTTTTCTTAAACCAAATACGTACCATCAAAAACTAATGACGTTCGTAAAATATCTGAAAAACTGAATAGCAGAACATATATAACTAAAACCATTTAGACCATTTAAATCAGTTGTGAGCAATATATTCTACTACGAGCCACCAGAAGATGGAGTATTTCTCCAATCTATATACATATGCAATAACTTTTAAAAGTAACTGAATAAATTGCTTGGTCATAAGAGAAGGAATTGGTAAATACAACAATAATGACGGTTCATTGAGAGATTAAATTTTCCTCTTCACAATATCACGTTTATCCAATTCACGACGAACAAAACGAGGAGAGATAGTGTTCAAAAACGTAGACACCACAAACAACGTATTTGAGACAAGAAGGTTCAGATAAGCACATTTTGACAAAGGTGTGATCACAAATTATATCAGTGGGAGATGTCCATCTACGATGTTTGGTTTTCCAAGGGAAAAATCAATTCTCATTGTGTAGTCTTGGTCTTCATTCTGATAGCTATAAAAATATTTCAGATATTTATTCATTTAAAATTTATTTAAGGGCATCTAGTGTTTGCCATTTATACACTGTTAGAAACTTCCTGAAAAAAAATGGTTAATTGATAACCTAATTTATTGTTATTTCATCATATTCAACCAAAACAGTTAAATAACCATAAAAGAAATGGTATTCAAACTGATAACTGTGAGAAAAATCGTTTATTTGCTGTTTTCACTTAATACGGTTAAACAACAAGAATTTTATCCGCTAATTCAAAACACCTTGTGTAGCGACTTTGTATCTTCCAGGTACGTACATACTTTAGTGGAGAGGACAAATTTGACTGTCTTACGACTGAACGGGAGTTCGTGTCCCAGCCCTACCATCCCAATATATACTCTATTTTTTTCAACTACTGGATGCAGAACTTTCATTCACACATAGATGGCAGCATCACAGAGCTGCCTAACTCAAAAACGTCTAGTATTTGTTATCTCTCGAAATAGATGGAACAACACGATAAATTAATTAAGCCACATTACACTGTTTTTTAAAGATGACAATATAACTCAATCATATTCCAACTCCAAAGTTAAATTAAATTTCATTTTCACAATTTCGAAATCTTGCTAGCTGCAAATGGCTACTAAACTGTATAGCTTTGTATTCATGGTTTTTTAACTTTATTAAATGTAAACAGTTAAGTAAAGAAACGTTCCTAACCGTTAACTTTACGGTTGATTTGATGGTCTGACTGCTGCCAGCCATTTTACTCTAATTTTAGAATGAAAATTCAAATTGTGTAACATAAGTTTGATTAGAGCAAGATCAGTGTGAACTGAACAGATACTGTCCAATATAACGGAGCTCCTGCAATTCTTTTAAAAAGTTTTTTCAAATATTTGTAAGGGAAAAACATCCAATTTTCTGCAAGCACTGTGAATCACAAACATATCTGCATTAATTTCTCTTTTTTTAAACTCATAGATAGTTTACTTTTTTGTATTTGTCATGATTATTAAGTAGATCAATGGTGAATTTTCGATATTCGCTATTATAAATGAACTTTTTGAAACTTATTTACTGCGTGATACAGCCATATGATACGCACGCTTATTTAGTAAAAAAAAAAAAAGGACGAATCAGCTTTCTTAGCCTACTTGAATCAGTGACATGGTAGAAATGACAAATAACAGTGAGCAGAAAGGTCAATTTACCACAAAATATTTCTCTTCCCTGGAACAAAATGTACCTTTACTTTTCCAATATATTTCCCAACAAACCTATTTCGAAGTATTATAATAAATGAGAATAGATGATGGGTTATGAATTAGGACATTTTTAGTATTATTTATTGATATATTGATATTACTACTTATATTGAGTAGTTTATGAAACTTTGTAATTGGCTAACAAACTAACAAATAGTCTTCCATACCCATTTTTTAAACATTTTCCGGAGGGAAGAGATTATATAGAGCGATATTATTTTCATATTACATGATAGGGGGATATTTTTATTATAGAGGTATATTATTTTTGCATTAGCTGATAAAATCTTCTAATCAATTGTATAGGAATATGCCGCAATGAAAAAGTAGATTAAGTTAAGAATAAATGCAGAAATTTAGCAAGAAATTTATGATTTTTTTAACATTTTGTTAAAACTGTAATACTAGAATCTAGATATTATAATTAAGGATCAATGATGAAATTTTACCTTATATTCCACGTATGTAAGTGGTCCTGGAGCTTTATTATGCATTCGTAGTCGGCAAAAACCAGGAAAACTGAAAGAAACGTAGATTTTGAGAAAAGTACCCTAAACACTATATGCCCTGAAATCGTTCCATTTTAAGTAAAGAGAGCTTAGAAAGAAGTATCGAATTATTATGCATACATAATGAGATTTATTTAGTTTTTATACCATTTTATCTAACAAAGTTGTAAACTTTCCTTCGATGAATTTTATTATGTAAAACTGAAGGTTAAGACAAAGGATTTTTATCCAAATGTATCGTTAGCTAAGATTGCTATAATCTTCTTAAACAACACAATCAGGAATGTAGGAAAATTTTTAATGAAAATATTACTATGAAATATAGTTTTTACATCATTTACATATTTATTTCGTCATTTATTTCAGCATTTAAAGTAAAATATACATGAAAACTATTATTGATTGATATCAATAGAGGTAAATAGTAGTTTTTTGTCATCCACTATAACTTTATTACATTTTTGACATTTTTATTACATCTGACTTTAAAACGACTCGCATTATGAGACAGGACGGTGCAGAGGTTAGTACATTAGAATGTTAAAAAGTTTTCATGTGTTTAAATTCCTGATGATCTCTGAGGTGATTTTTATTCATACATTCTTCTACCATAATTTTTTTTATTGTAGATGTTTAATTTACATTAAGCAGGACTGGCAGAAGGAGTGACAGTATTTTTTTTAACCATAAAATTTTAAAATCTGTTTTTAATATTTTATGATAATAGTTGAATAAAAATGTTTTTTTCTAATGTTAGATTACTTTCTATCTATTATATGTAAAATAATAAAAATAATGTAATGCACACACAAGTGGAAACGTTCAAGACGATCTATTTGTCACGTATAATGGCATTTGGTTTAAGTACCGAAACAGCCACCCATCTCTTGAGCTTGTTTACTTTTGCTTATGATGTTGTTTTTGTGTTAGTTTGCTCGCATTTTAATTTTTAAAAAATCAATTGGGCAATTAAAAACGGTAAAATTCATTATAGATCAACTCTTCATCGATTGTGACTACGCAAAAATGAATTAAAACGGACTTAAAATTTCAATACGCGTCTTTAAAAAATACATACAACAGTCAATGAAATTCGAAACCAAAAACGAAAAGTTTAGATCACAATACATGTTATGAGTAATAAAAAAACGCAACCGTATTAAAATCATTTCTATTTATTTAAACATTTAGACAGCTTTGTCAGACAGTAAGGCAATTTTGTCTTAGACAATCAATCGTGAAACTTTTATGTAGAGAAATTTGATCTGAGAATTCTCTTATTGAGTTTTGGCAATCATTGTATTTTCCTTATTATTTAAAATATAAATTTAACTACTATTGGAAGCTCTTTTGCTCCTTTATATGTCGTGTGCTAACATCAAATAAAAGTATTATGCAAGTGATATATCGTTTATAAAGTATTCAATCAAATAAAATACTTTTTGAGTGCTGTACCAGTAACATAGATGTTATTTTTGATATGAATGACATTTATTTAAAATAGGTCTAATATTGGAATCTTGCACTTTGAAAAAAAAGTTATTTAAGTGTTTTTTTTTTAATAATGATTTTAATTCTCAATGTTCTCAACATTGATAATATTAGAATATTAAGAAAAAAAATTACTTATGAAAGTTGGCATAAATTTTATTTTTTAAATATAAAAAAAAAATATCCGCAATTTGCAAATTATTAATAATAGAGGGTTGAATTATTCATAATATTTCTTAAATTGAATAAAAGTTCCTGTGATAGAACATTCCTGTGATAGAAACTTTAAAATAAATTGTGTGATATTCACGAAACTACCATTATGAGTAGAAAGATAATTATAAAATGTTTTTAGTGATGGTTATGTGAAAGTATTATAATGATTTTTTATTAAAGTTGTTCATTATTAATGTTATCTTTGCGTATAAACTATGATTTCTAAATGTTTTGTCAACTTAATTGTTATCAAGTACTTTCCCTAATATTTTAAGTTTTTTCACAAATAAAATTACCCATTTATTGGAAAAGAGCAATAATGAGGTTTTAAACAAAAATGAACTTCGGTAATGTTCATAAATAAAGCGTTTAAGCCCAATTTGAAAAATTCTTTATGTATTGCGCAAAAATAAAAAAGCAAACAGCCTGAATAACCGATTTCCACGCACTAGAACTCAATCTTAATGGTCTTACTCTTAACATGGTTACTAATTAAAGCAAATAATATTTAAAATTTCGAGATGAGAAACAGAAATGTGCTCCGAATGTAAGCGTTCTTCTTGCTAAACGATTTTGGATTTTTGAAACTAATGGAGGGGGGGGGGCCGCAATTCGGAAAATATCGTCTCGGTAAGTCAGAAGAGCAATTGGAAGTTTGGATTTCAAAACGCAAATATCACTTTTTGCGTATTTCGCTATATCTCGGAAATTTTTAAAGCGAATAGAAAATTTTTTGTCCAAAATTACAAATTTCATTTATACCAAGATAACACTGAGTAAAACATAATTTTAATAATTATGTATTAATATTTTTATTATTTTATTTAATAATGGTAAAAAAAATGGAATCGTAAGGTATTCAAATTTTTACACCATTTTCAGCTAGGTAATTTTAAATGACAAATTATAAAATTTGAATAAACTCGGTCAAATTGTCTCTGAGTAATAACATTTTAAAATGTCGTATATTTTAATTTTTATATGTCAAGAGCTAGCCGGCCAATGCTTTTTGGATTTTGGATTTTTGAAGAAAAAATTATGAAAAAATATGTTTGCAATATTATTTAAGTTTTTTCAGCCGTCATTAAATAATATAGTAAAAAATATTATATATAATTAAAAACTACTCAACCTTGGACAATGAATTTTGAAATTTCGTGCAAAACTTTTTCGATTTGCTTAAAATTTTTTCCGAGATATTGTGAAATACGTAAAAAGCGAAATTATCACTAAGGAGACCAAACTATAGACTAAACTGTGAGCTCTATAGACTAAATTGTTGGTTCATATTTTCCAAATTATGCCCATATTTTTCAAAAAATATCATACTTTCTAAATTGAAACCCTATTTTAGAAAGTTGAACCATATTTTCTGTACTTTGGCTTCCTCGTATTTTGCGGGGGGAGGGGGTAGCCCGAAATTCGAATGCGTCAAAAATAGGTTTAATCAGACAAAGTACGTTTTTTTGTCTGACTTTTTAACCTATAATATTGTCTGCTCTAATTAATTGGCATATTTAAGATTAGGCCTGCAACTATTAACATTGAGTGCCAGTATGTGAAATTTTGTTCTCTAGATTAAAAGCTATTTGTATTGATCGGTTCACATTGATGAAAATCCTTAGTTTTTTTTTATTTTACAATAGTACTTTATTTTATTGAAGCTCTTTCAACATTTAGTTCCTCAATTTTGCTTTGTTCTTTTCTTTCCATTGGACTAGAATGCTTACATTCTTGATATTTAAACACAGGTGCAACCTGAAAACAATTCTTGATTAAAATGTCCATACATTTCGTAAAAATATGTAGAAGTAAAGTGGAAGGAAAACTGCGTGCGATTATAAAAGTAGGGAACCCACCTTCCATAGACATCCTTAAGCTCCTGATCCTGGATGAAATGTCCGAGATTGGCGACGAAAAGTGTCGAGCATTGTGGCGGCTGCGGCTGAGTTGGAGGTGGCGTCGAATTTGGCGCTGCGGTTGTAGCGTGGTTGGCGACGAAATGTGGCGGTGGTGGTGGCAGCTGTGACGGGTGATGCATGGCAGCGTGCGATATGGGATGAGGTACAGTGAGGGGCGGCTATGGGGCACACACACAACCAAACATCAGCCACATATGCATTAACATTCATACTTTGGTAAAGGGACTGTGCATACTTAACGTTATATTGTTTATTTTAATCATATTTCATTTGCATTGACAATGCTATTATTTTTCTTATTATTATTTTCTTTACTTAATACCTTCTGAGATTGAATTACTTTAGGCTAAAGTATCAAATTACTTAATTGTCCTGATAAGTAAGGAGTAAAAGTTGACCGTTGAAGGATTTAATATTATCAGATGCTATTGTTTTACAAATATTTAAATTATTATGAAGACGGGAATCAATGTGGGGTTCATTAACAATAGCGCGTAATTAAGTAAAATAACTGCATTGAATATGTAAATATTTTTTTCTCATTGATACAACAATAACCAGGAATGAAAATAGTAGGTTTAATCATGTACTCCTTTATTATTTCATGAAAATACTAATAATAATAAAAATATTTCACAAAAGTATACTCTTTTGCAGTCATTAATTCCTGCTCAAGTAAGAAAAAAAACCGCGACTAACATTTAATGATGCATTACTGAGGAATTGAGATCTGCAGACATCAAGACATTTTTAATTGCTGAAGAAAATTGAGATAAGTGGAAAGGATATTAGTCGAAGCACTTCCAATTTATACCAGGCAATCAAACTGGTTTTGGTGCCTTAACTTGCAGCTTTTTTCTGACCTCCTGAAATATAATTTGGAGATTCCTAAAGTGCCTACTTTTTCATTAAGATATATATTAAGGGAGGATATTAAGAAATACCCTATACCTTCCGTAACGATCCGTTTATCGTTTTTTCCGTATTACCTTCTGTTCATAGACTGTCGTCTGATTAATTTTTCCTGCATACAGAATTCCCATTACCACAGATTGTTCTTAATATATATAAATTTTTAAATCCTAATCAAAAATGAAGAAAAAAATATACTAATGGGGTCTCAAATTAATATGTAACACTATCGTAAAAATAAAAACACTATCTTAATCTGATGAATCTCAGAAAGGAAAAACGGGTGTACGAAATACCAAAACTTATTTGATTGCGGAAGGAAACGGAGAAGAATTGAAGTATGCTTAATAGGAGCACTTTAAAGTTTTAACTTACAATTAAACATGTTTTCGTGTTTTGCACAACCGCCCTCCCCGAAACTGAACTAATTATATTTCGACAGCGTTTTTGTATTTTCCACATTTAAATATTAAGTTGCGATCTTAATGTGTATATTTTTTATATAAATTTTTCACAGTGTTTCTAAAACTTTATATTAAGGGTGATCATTTTAAAACACTTTGTTTAAATTTTTTAAAAATGTTTTCCTCTTTAAGAATTTCATTTTATTTTTTAATTTTTTAAATCTGCGTCATATGCAGAATTTTATAAAATTTTATGCAAACGTTTTATCCGATATATTTTTTTTAAAATTTTATAGTATCCTACTATATAAGTATCCTACTGTGTGAGTATCCTACTTTATACGCCTCCTACTACACGAGTATCCTACTATAGAAGTATCTTATTACAGAAGTATCCTACTATATAAGTATCTGACTAAATAAGAAGATCTTTTATTCACATTCTTATTAAACTCATAACGTTATATATGCACAACCCCTAATGCAAATTAAGAACCTAATAATATAATAGGAGTAAAAAGCAGGAACTACAAATTATACAGGAATGGACTACTAAATATTATGGAAAATTATCAGAGCATAATAGTTTCAGATGGGAGTTTATTTATTTTAAAACATGAAAGGAAGGAAAATTTCATTGTTTTAGATCCCACTGAGAAAGAAGTTAAGCGCGATACATTTTCATGGTAATGTGAAATGCTAATATGATATTCACTTTTATTTTTATGAAAAGTCGAGGTACGAGCATTTGCTTTTATAGATTATTCACCTTCTGTTTGTAAATGCCCAAATCAAATAATCATTTACATTGAAATTAGCACTTTTCAGAAATATTATTTATAATAAATAGTTCGTATTTAGCTTAAATGTTACAATAAAAATATAATCGTTAAAGATTCATTCATTGAATTAAAAAATGGAGATCATTTAATTAATGAAGTTTCATTCCTTTCAAGTTTCATATTAATTCGAGAGTGAAATTTGGTGCGAATTATTACCCGGATGGCAACTTTTGTAGGAGCTTAATAAGAAATTTAAATATTTATGCATATTAATGAAGTAAACAAATTTAAAATATGTAGTTTCAAAAAATGAAAGTGTGTTTACAAATCAAATATGAAACAAGCCAATTTATGTAGAAATTCCATAATTCTGTTAAAAACGTAGTTGCCGAGTCAATATATAATTTGTTGATATTTTTTTACACTTTCAATTACTTTACTAGTTAATTTTGTACCGAATGTTCTAGTTATAGAGCATTATGCATTTCTTATAAAAAAAACAGTGCAAAGAAAAGAAAATAGCTTCATATTTACCATTAAGTTGAAAAACTTAGTCGAAATGCAAGACAAATAAACTCTTAATTTCTTTATTATAATAAAGTCCGTTTCTATTTGAATTTTATTGGGATCTAATAATTATTAAAAAAAATATTTATTCAGCTTTTTAAGCAACTATTTTTGAATATAGAACACACAATTTTGTTCACTATTATCTAATCAAATTTAATAATTAAAGTATTTAGCTAGACGTTTTTGCATTGTTATCTAATTTTTCTACAATTTTTTTTTCCTGTCATCCAATTTTTCTAAACCGCCTAGTTTGAATATTATGATAAACTACTTAAGTTAGAAATATTAATATACTCTTAATTTGAATAACGTTAAAGAGTAGAATAACAAGTCTAGCTTGAATAAGCATATTAATAAAAGGGGTGCCCAAATAAAAAGTGGACAGGTTAGAAATATAGCTCCACGGTTTAGGGTTATAAAGGATGTAGACTTATTAATCAATAATACGTTGACTGCGTATTATTGATTAGGTCCACAGAAAAGCATTTAAAGTAAATGTAAAGCAGAGTTAAGAAAAACGAGTGATGTGAAGTTGTATGATTTTTAGCTGCAGAATGACTATTTGTTGCACAGATATTAATTGTTATACTTTTTGATTTTCTTAATCATTTCAATAGCAACAGCAATCGATTCATAAGAGAGCATGGCATTTGATTGTTCACGTTCTTCGTAGATCCGTTATTTATGTACTGCCATTGACGGCTGATTTTCCGAAAATAATTCTTCATAAAGGATAATTATTTGGCATTAAATGTCCTCATATGATCGCTTTTGTCATTAAAAATCGCGCTACTTCTGGTTGCTGTATTCTGGACGCATCCATCGTAACTCAACTTTGCATTCACTTAAAATGCTATTGGGCGAACTAGTTAATCAGTTGCGCTCAGTCTGTGGTGTTCTTTTCTTATTTCAATATTTTTACCCTAACAGGGGATGACACTATAACTGTGTCCACTTTTATTTGGGCTACTTTAATAGAATGCTAAAGAGCAACAATATATTTTTAAATTCGTTTGATATGCAGGCTTAGTTTTAACGAATATATCTTATTTTTTGGCAATTATATAGTTTTTTACATAACTTCTTATTTAAGTAATTGTATAAAATTTAATTTATATTTGGCTTAAGTATCTTGATGATTGGCTTAAGTATCTTGAATAAGCTATTGATGGATACGCTCGAAATTCAAATTTAAACTATAAAAACAGAGTAAATAATTCATTGTCCAGATGTAATCTATTTTCACTAATAATATCCCATAAATCATCCATAATTTAATGCAGAAATTTTTTTTTAATTTTTAAGCTTATGAAGATATTTTGAAATCATGTTACTACCCTGGTTTAACATTTAAATTTTTACTGTATAAGCAAAGACACTGCTTTCAGGTTTCAGTTCAATTGTTGTAACCATAGCAAAAGCTTCATATTTATAAAGTCTAATAATACAATACATATGCTTGCTTTTATTTGAGGTTTTATAAATTTTTTAGTCAATAAAAATTTTGTTTTAATTCAATACTAATGCTCAAACAGTTTTGAATCATTGCTGCCTAAAAACCTAATATCCCGTATATCAATATATTAATATTTAATAATATTCCGTATATCAGCTTTAAATTCCATGAAATCAAATAGAAATTTACTACAAACAATCTTGGTTAAAATCTTAAATTTAAATGCCGATGAAAGAATATAAAATATAGTAGGGGAATGGAATGTAAGAAAATAATTTTATTTTTTTTCTCTAAATAAACTTTTTTGCATTCCTTAATTTAAATTAATTTACCTCAAAAACTTAAAAATAACTTCATAAAATTTTGAATATTTGTGCCTAAGGCGTTTTACTTTAATTTGTTCCTCTGGTCGAAACAAATTTTTTCAATTATGATAGATTTTTAAGAAATAATGGACCGATAATTACGAATTAAAAATAGTAACCAAAAAGAAAATTGCAATTTTAAAAATAAAATTGAAAAAAAGACATTTATTTTAATAGCAAAGAACTACAGAAGACAATTACTTTATGAAACAAAAACAGCGAATATCAAAGGATAATATTGTTAGTTGTATTAAAAATAAGAATCAAACCTAGTTTTTAAATTTATTATTATTTCTCTTATGTCAAACAAAAGTTCTACAAACAATTTTTATGCAACTATTTAATGGCAAAACAACATAAATAATTAAAAAGAATCTAAGCAAAATAGAAAAATATTCTATAATTTTCCCCGGACCATATTAAAAGTAATTTTAATCAAAAAATTAAGGTTAATATTTAATTATTTTAATTAAATATTTCCCGTTAGCTTATGATGCTTTTAAGAATCTTTACTTAAAAAGGGGCATGGGCAACAAGTAGTAAATTAAATAAACATGATTAATTATCTTTGTTTTATAATTCTATATTTTACTTGAAATTTTAGTTTGGTATTTAATTAAAAGTATTTTTATTGCTAATAGTAAAAAAAAAGCTGAAGGCACATAAAATTGTGAGTAATTGTATAAACTAAAAGCTTATAATTAAATTTAAATATTTTTTGCTATATTAAATATAAAAATATTACTTTTTAACGTTTGTAAATTTTATATTATTTAAAAATTTTCTACCGAAATGCTTGTGTAAGGAAATAAGAAACAAAAATCGTTGTAACTAAATTTATTTACTTAAAAATTAAAAGAATGTGGCCATTTAAAAATAAAAAGGAATTCTAAAATGTGTTCTAAATCGCATTAACAATAATTTATGTCAAAAAATATAAAAAAAAAAAATTCCTGTTAACTTACGATATTTTTAAGATTTGTGAAATCTATATGTCTGTCATTAGACGGAATTGAAAATTTACTCTAAAGATCTTAATGTGAATTAATTTTAAATTTGATTGTTGCCAAATTATAGTTTAGATTTGTCTCATGCTCCCTTTTCTGAGAACTACCCATAAAAATAATCGGTATAGGTAATTTGTTCCATGAAAGTCTTAAAATAAAATATTGACTACTTCCTAATAAGTATTCGTACCTCAGAGATGAAAATAACTTATTGATCTAATGCTATTTTAACAGAACAGATTGATTCAATCCAAAAACTTATGGTTTCCATCGGCTTGATTTTCGCTGATTTAAAAGCTATAGAAAGTGTTCATGCGAATACATTAATGTTAGTTAAATAGTTTTTATTAAAGTAAACCTAACAAGGAGATACTTCTCGTTAACCATTCCAGTGCAATTTTTTGAATGATTGTAATTTCCGAGACTCTAATAATAATAATCGCAAGTTTAGCTTTTCATTGTCAACAATACACAATTCAATTTTAGGGATCAATCTATGAAAGCATTACTAGCTTAGAAGAATTGATATTTCTCCTTGTATTTGACATAAATTGCCTACTTTTTCTTCAAAAACAAAACATAATGAGTGTGGTGTTAATAATGTAACGTTTTATAAAGTTCGACTAAACTGTTAGAATTTTCATTTTGAAATTACGGTAAAATAAACGAAACAGTCTGCCCATCCGATTAACCATAAAATTAATGGTTAAAAACATTTCTTTCTCTTTATGGTTTTGAAACCGTTTGCAACTGGTACGGTTAAAAAACCGTGAATCCGAAACTATACGGTTTTGAAACTATCTACAACAAGCATAGTTTCTCAGCTATAAAAATAAAACTAAAATAAACATTTTCGCGGATAGAATGGCTACTAAACCGTATTAGATAAAATCAAATAATAAAGTTTCTTTCTCACACTAAATAGTTTGAATATGATCTCTTTTATGGATTTTTGACTGTTTCGTTTGAATATGGCAAAATAATAATTAAATAAATTACTACTTCACCACTTTTACCGTGAAATTTCTAACAGTGTTGAAAGCAATTTTTGGCTATGTTCAGAAAAAAGCTTGAGGCTAAGTTTTTTTATTAATGAATTAGTATTCTGCAAATATTATACTTATGTAAGTATACTTTTAAGAATGCATTCTTTTAATTTTGCGTAATTTTAGATTTTGATTCTCTTTGGCATTTTGTGTAGCTCTTCATTTTTTTAAAAATAAAACAATACAAAATAAATTTAGAATTGCGTTTAGTAAACTTCCAATTGACGATATGACATATAAATAAATTTACAAAATATTAGGGAAAAATTATGACCAAAATATTAGGGAAAAATTGTATTGATTGTGTTGAGTTATTTATACTCACGATCCATGAAATATTAAGTAATAATATTATATGTTTTAAAATAAGCAGAAAATTTAGTAAAATAAAGTTTTTTTATTTCTGATTTCTTTTCTTTCTTTCTCGTTTCTTTATGTATTGTATTTTTAATTTTGAAAAATTTTAAATATCCATGAAATTTAAAACTGTTGTGCGAAATATTTATAAAACTTTTTAAATTGAAATTATTATAAATTACTTAATAGTCTTACTTGATAAAAAATAGTTTGCAACACTTTATCGTCTAAACATAACTTAACAAAAATATATCATTCGCGCAAGATCTCTCTCTCTCTCTCTCTCTCTCCTTTTTATTCAANTTTGTCCCCCCCCCCCCCCCCAAATTTTTTTTTTCCCTTTTTTAAATTCTTTTGATTAAAAATGGCACTAGATTATTTATAAACATCATAATCACTAGGTAATTTATAAACATATCTTCATAAGCATATAGATTTATTTACATTTTAAATTTATGTATATCTATATACTCATGTTTTTCTTTAGATATTTGTTTCGACGTTCGAAAACTAACTGTTATATACTAAATTAGTAGCAATAAGCAATAAAAATAGTATCGTGTTATGGGACATAAAATTCAAGCAAAGCGTTAATCATATCCAGGATAATTTCTATAAGCCAGAACCTTTTAGAAATTCATATTTTATAAATGTAGTTTTTGAGAATAAAAGGAAAACGAATAAACAGATTATAGTACGAAAAACGAATTTTACATTGAATGTCATTTCGATTTTATTAAAAAATTTACATAATATTGTTTTATTTTAGACTATAGTACATTCATGAATGTTAAAAATAAGTATTTATAAGCTTATTTTTTAAAAAATTGCAGAATACCATGTCTATCTTTACTGTTTTACTTAAGTTCATACTGTATGTCAGCAATATAATTAAACTATTTTGGCCTAACTTCTCCAAAAAGACTCCAATTATTGTAGAAGCAAGAATGTGGAAAGTAATGTTTCATTATGAAATGTTATAACTATTTTGAGTTTAAAAGTAATATTTTCATTAAAAATATCAATATTCATTTTATTTTTTTATTCAATAAAATGTGCATTAAAAAGTCACTAGTAACATTATTTCAACCAAAAGGTTTTACTTAATTCATATATTACTCTCTTATTATGTACTTTTGTTCACTCTTTTCTCTTTATTTTAATAATTCAGTTAAAGAGCATAAAATTTCAGTTAAAGAAATTTATTGTCATTTATAAACAATTATTAAAAACCTTTTGAGAAATCAATATAAGCATATACATTCCGAATGCATGTCAGCTCCATTTGTAAAAATTTTACAAGTTACTGTAAATTTCGAATAGAATTAAATTTTATTGGAATAATAAATTAAGTAATTAAGGGTCAGTACTGTAACGTAATATTTCATAATATTTCATGACGATAATATTATTTCATAATATTTCATGATTTCATTACGAAATGTCATAATATTTCATATTACTGTCAATATATTGTGAAATATTTTAGTTCCTCAGTTTTATATGTCAGTTTAATTTGATATTTCAGTTTTATTTTATAATTTAAGTTAATCCTGTTTCAATCCAACTTAGCCGCAGCCACCTCTAAGAGTAAAAGCATTTTATTAATAATAGTATTAGATTACTTACCTAATTGATATACCAATTTACCACAATTATTTTAAAACTTATATTTCGCGGATGTTGATTTTAGTAATAATTTCCTCATTTAAAGTCAAAGTTTAGTTCAAAATACATAAATTTAGTTCAAAATATTACGATAACAGAAAACTGTGTAAATTTAAAATATGCTAACAGTATCCTGTATTAAAAAGTTGACTTACTTATTTGAAAGTTATAAAGGTAACAAATAATCAAAAAAACTTATTATAAATCAAATAATAGCCTTTAATTTAAAATGTCCAAAATCCTCATTAGAGGAAAAAGTTGTTTGCTATTCGTGGTAAAAGTTTTTTTTCTTGTGTCATTTATAGCTAGCTGTAGATCTTTTCTATCGAATAAATAAATTTAAAAAGTGTTCTAAAAAATACAGCTTAAATTTTGAAGTTTAATAAACATGCTAAATAAAATTTTGTTACTCTCAATATGCATTCAATTTAAAAAAAATAAATTATTTTTATAATATTTATTTTGAGTTATTAATCTTTCTAAGTTCTGTGTTTTGACCATCAGCCAAGCAAATGTTGCCTATGATCATTAAACATATCAAATCAAATATGTTTTTTAGGAATGAGATATTCTCATCGTATTTTCTGATAGAATTTAGGATTTTAATTCATCGTAACTTAAGTTTTATAATGCTATTTTTTAACGAATTTTTCTTCAGGAACAAACTTTACCAACTTAATTATTCATTAAATATGCAAATTACTGGATTTTTAAATTGACAGTATTTGTGTTATTTTTGTCAATTCTAAAGGGAAAAAAATATTTGAAGCAAAAACATCTTTTTTAATATAAAATTATTATCTACAGTTTTTGCAAAAATTGAGCATTTTAATAATAGATATCATTGATTGATAGAGGGAAAGAAGGATGTGATAAGGAGGTGAACTTACTGGCAACTGGGCATGAAGTGCAGGATGCACAATAGCTGCTGAGTGCAAAGCTGTAGATACTGGCACTTCAGTATATGAAAGAGGATGATGGGGCCAACCATCAGGAACAGCGGGTAACAAAGTGCCCATTTCTTCTGAAAGTAAATTGTTTCAATTTTCATTTTAAAAGTTCAAACATTGTGTGGTTATGCTTTTAAGTTTTACACTGAGATGATCAGTAACTTTTAAGAAGGATAAACAGAAAAAAATGTTAGAAAAATACGCGCAATAAGAGTATGACAAGAAAAAAAATTTCATCTGTAAAGGGAGTAAATCGTAGATGTATGTACAAAATCCATTAAATAATAGTTTTCTATCGTCTTTTTATGATTTACATTAACAAAGAATACACGGTTAAAGACATTTTTAACCACCGAATAAAGACATTTAGTTCCTTGCAGCTGGGTACATACTATAGCCTCGAGGGCTAATCCGTCAATTTCATGACAGGCAAAATGGGGATTAGAGATCCAGAGCTGACACTACAATATATCCTCCATTCCCTTCAAAGACTAGCTCCATTGTCCAATAAAAGTACTTTTTTTGAGGTTTTGAAACCATGCTAGTTGTAAATGCTTAAAAATCTGTAAGGTAAAAAATGTTCTTTAATTTTTTTAGTGTTCTTTAAAAAGGTAAAAAATGCTCTTTACCGTAAACTGTACGGTTAAAAGGATGGAGAGACTGCTGCCAGTTATTTTACAGTAATTTTATAATGAAAATTCGAACAGTGTAGAAACGGGGTTAACAGAATTATGAGTAAGTACAATTTTATTTTTAAGAAGTTATGTTTTAAATCATTAACCTAAATTACTGTTATTGTCAAAAATTTCCAATTCATTATTGTTATTTCCAAAAATAAGGATTTCTAAATATTAAAAGTAGCTTTAAGTTTTAAGTTTAGAGGCTTTACTTTTGTATAAATTTTCTTTTTATAAATTCTAACTGCTATAATTGTTGTATGTATAATAGCTTTAATTCATAAAACCATAGAAGTATATACTTTTTAAGATTTCATTAACTCATAGTGAGCATTCATTTTTTTTAAAATTTAAAAAGGAAACTAAACAGAAAATTATAAAAAAGATAAATATGAGAAAAATTTGAAATTTCACATTTAAACTGAAACTTTAGGAGAAAGATAGTTTTTAATTAGAACAAAAGCACTGAAACTAAATCAAAAGAGTTTTTTTAATGTAGAAGGCAAACTTTGGTAACGTTCTATTTTTAAAAAGTTAATCTTTCTACCTTGTATAATAATCATGCATACTTTAAATATGGATACTATTCTCAGAAGTGTCAGTTATGGGGACAAGATAAATGAAACAATCAACAAAATAAGCATAAAAGATTATTCAGTTAATGTAGCGCCATACAATAAGGCACTGTTTAGTTGGATTATTTAAAAAATAAATAAAAAAAGTCAGATACATTAAGATAGATGATTTTTATTTAAAAAAATGAACATTTGACTCATTTCGAGGATTAAACACATTCGAAACATGAATCAATTTTATACACTGTTAGAATTTTTATTCTGAAATTACGGTAAAATAACCGACAGCAGTCTTAAAGCAGCAGTCCAAGCAGCAGTCCAAAATCGTAAAACGGCAGTCCAAAACCGTAAAGTGAACATTTCTTCACTTTACGGTTAAATATTTATTACTGGTTCGGTTTAAAAAACCATAAATACAAGACTATGCGGTTTTAAAACCACTTACAACTAGCATGGTTTTATTAACCATAAATTTAAAACTCAAACGGACATTGGAGCTCCGTGGTTGTTACGCCATTAATTCGTAAATGATGGTTTCGCACTCTAGTAGTCTAGGTTCAAGGATCGAAGAGTGCAGGAAAACCTTCGGAGAAATTGAAGAAATCCTTCACGGATCGAAGAAATCCTTCATGTACTGAAGGAATGGAAGGAAAAATGTGGAAATAACTCATGGATTCGAACCCCTGTTCAGTCGGATATGAGATGACAGATTATTCCTCTCAGCTAAACTATGTACCCAGCAGCGAAAAACAAAGTAGCTTCACAAGGTGGGCCTAGTTAGCACGGATTGAATTCTAGTTGTTAAACCGTATTAGGTAAAAACAGTCACTATACCTTTTGTTTCCTCACATTTAACAGTTTGAATATTTTCTTTTGTATGGTTATATAACTGTTTTGGTTGAAAATGGTAAAATAACAATTAAATAAATTTCTATTTAACCATTTTTACTAAGAAATTTCTAACATCGTTCCATATAACGGTTTCACGAAATTTATACGGTATTATGGACTAATGTTAAACTGATTTTTCTGAGAATATTTGAAGTTTCAAGTAATCTTTAAATTTAGAATGCAAGAAATTGCTTAAAGTATAGGCTTAAAATGTAGGAAAATGGATAAAAAATATTAGTTTGGCATTTCTAATCGCTATCAAAAAAAATAAACTGAAACCGACAAAGCAATTTATTTAGAAAGCAGCCCTTTGGAAATAACGCCAGTTATTATAAAATTTTATGATAAATTTTTTTATTTGAAGTATGTAAAAGAAAAATAGAAATATTTCATTTTTTTAAAATTGCATTATTCAAACACATTCTCTTGGAATAATGGCATCATCATAGGATGTAAATGCAGTTCAGATTGAAGAATGCTCTGAAACTTCTCTGTTATAAATCCTTCGTCCTGTTGACATTTGCTCCATCTCTCCTGCTACGATGTTTAAATAATACTGCTCATATTTTCTGCAATCTTAATAAGGCGACAAAATGAGCCGTGAATATCATGAATTTTAATACTTTCTAAATTTGATTACATGGTGTTACGGTTTAACTTGAATTGCAACATGGTTCACTTTAACGCCTTATAACGATTGTAGCTAGTTTGTACGATAATTTGGTTCAGTTTTGAGCAGATTCTTTATCAGATATTTAAAATGCAGTAAATTACGAAAAGTATAGTTTTGAAAAACTGAAAACTACATAAAAATATTATTTTGGCTTTCTTCAATGCTATCTTAAAAATAAACTAAAAACTTTTGTGTCTTATAAAAATACATATTCTTATGTTTAAAGTTTTTGTTTAAATTTTTTGATCAAAAGGTTTCTCTTTTGCTCGTATTATATTCTCTAAGAATTAAGAAAACATCGTAATGGACGCATTTATGGCTGATGAACGGATTTATTGCTGATAAACGTATTTATGGCTGATGAATGCTCTGAAGCTTCTTTGTTATAAATCCTATGATCTGTTGACGCTTGTTCGATCTCTCCTCCTTCAATGTTTCAATAATTCTGCCCACATTTTTTGCTACCTTAATTAGACGACAAAATGAATTGTGAATATCGTGTCATGCAATATCGTGAATTTTAATACTGCCTAAACTTAATTACAAGATGCTATGGTTCAACTGAAACACACTGTTAGAAATTCCGGGACAAATTACGGTATGAAGTACCGACACTTTGAGAACATCATACGTAAAATCCCTCTTACTATAAAATCTATTTTTATGGTAAAATATTATACCATAACTTTTACAGCAATATTTTTTTAATTAGAGTGATTCGGTGATTTACGGTGATTATTACTGCAAAAATTGCAGTATATCAGATTTTTTCCTTGACACGTTCTGGTAAAAATGAATTCGACGGTAAAAAGTACCGATATTCAGAGCAGTGGTACTTTTTACAGTAAATTGACCTTAAATCCTTAAATTGCTGAAATATGATTTAATTAATTGCCTTATTAAGATCGCAGTAAATTTGTAGGGTGTTTGGGTTTAACGTTGAGCATATTTTCACAGAGGCTTAAAATGCAGTGAATTACAAAACATATAGGTTGGAAAAAGTACAACCTACATAAAAATATTACTTTTGCTTTCTACATGCTATTATAAAAAAAATTAAAATCAATAGAATTTTTTGTGTCGTATGGAAATATGTATTCTTATATTTAGAATTTTTATATAAAGTTTGTGAACTAAGAGTTTCCTTTTTGCATTAAATTACATTATCTAAACGCATTCTCTAAGAATAAAGAAAGACATCGTCATAGGATGTAAACGCATTTATGGCTGATGAATGCTCTGAAACTTCTCTGTTATAAATCCTACGTTCTGTCGACGTCCGCCCGACCTCCATATTTCCTGCTACAATGTTTAAAGACACAGATCTCTGGCCTGAGGCTCTTTCTGATCGATGGGACGAAGCGCGATCTGGGACACGCTCGATCTTTCACTTTGGCAGGGGAAAGAGCATCCACCGTGTTTAAGTTCACCAAGGATAGTAGCGAAGATGAGCTTTTCTGTCTTATACCCATTAGATCAACGAACTAGGTAGAATACCTGTGCTTAGTGACCGCTGGTTTTAATGGACACGTCCGATTGCTTTCCTCCGGGATTATAGAAGTCAGTCAAACTTGACTGCTAAATCATAGAACCTCTGACGAGTCAGAGCTAGAAAGCTGAAACTTTGTGGTTGATTATGGCAATAAATCAACTTAAAAGTGATTATTGAATCTCTGATCATTACTTACTGTCTTCGAAGGATTCTACTCTGCTTAATGGCATTAAATGATTTTGAAAAGATTAAATGTAGTGGAGTGGAAGTACCTCCATCCTACTAATTCTCTTTCTGTTAGTGGAGATTTTCTTTGATTATTTTTTCTGTTTATGATTGCAAATTATATGCATAAATATTGCAAAAAAAACGAAAAAAAAAAACTTTTGAGGATAAATTTTGTGTTTTTTATCTTTTCTTTGAAACTTGAACTAATTTTCTTCTCGTTTGAAATTTCAATAATTTTTATTTTAATCGTCATTTCAAGAAGTAAGCGGATAAATGTTTAATAATATTTTTAAATATTTAGAGATGTTGATGAAGAAACTAAGCTATTAAACATAAGCTGGAGAGCTTTATCAACATATATTTATTAAAGGTTGATGATAATAACCTTTATTTAATAATAATTAATTTCTCAAAAATCCACTTTTGTTAAGCAAAAGTTTATACAGATATTTTTTTTGAAATGCTGAAAACTGAATCTCTGAAGATGACTTTTCATAATTTTTTAAGCAAGTTTACAAAAGCTCTTTCGTCATGTAAA